GGGACTGCCTCTGTCCAAAACACCTGTTGAGAACATCCAAGCCCAGACGCTCCTCTCAGACTAGCATGATTGGCTGGAGAAAAGGCGGCTCTGGAGAGGATGATCCGAGTCTGCACTCTGGTGCCCCGAAGAACCATTCCCGCTTACTGCTCAAAACCTTTACAACTTTAACACTGGCATAGACGTCATAGCTCATTTTCATTTCTCTGTTTGAAAATGTATCTTTTTCCCAACAACTTTTAGCAATAAAAAGGGCAACTTATTAATGAAACCCTTCTGCCTTCCAAGGATGAAATTAAAAGATTATTATAACTACAGGCGAGGAAGCATTTGGATTATGTGGCTTTTGAAAATGGTAATAAAGGTTATCCACATGGTCCGACGTCGTCAGTGCCTCCCGTTGCATTCGTGATCACCTAATGGGGGGTGATTCTGATTACGTGGCTCATTTCAAGTTCTGCTGTGTCCTAGTCAGTCAGCGTCGAGATGATTTACTAGAAATAGTTGCTGTTTTCCTGTGTAGGCGCTGCTAAGTGCTTAAGCAGAATTAGAATATTTAGGACATTGTGTCTTGGGTATTACGGTGCCATGGTCTTCTTAGATCCTCTCACTTTATAACTTCTTCATAAGCGTCTCTAATTCTCTTCTTGTCTGCCCTGGATGCGTCAAACAACCTCCGGTGCTAAAGAGCTGGAAAAGTGTGTTTTATCTGGGTATTTGAATGTCAGTTTCCCTTAGGTTTAATGCCTTTTGTTCGGGTCTCTGTGACTTTAGATTATGAGCTTTTGGTGGTTCGTGAGCATGATGGAGAGGCCAGGGTTAAACTGTCTCCAAAGGAATTACAAATCTCGCCACCTTCCAAGTCCTTTCTGCGTCTCTTTCACCAAGGGAGAGGGCCTGGGGACGCAGTCCTCTATGAAACTTTGCGGGGAAGCCAGTAATTTGACTTTTTTTACCTTCTGCTACTGGGGGAACTGCTTTGGGTTCATTTGGGGTCTGGCCCAGTGTCACAGCCACCTGACGTTTCTGGATATGCCCGTCAGCGGTCTCTGTCCCCCGCAGGCAGTGTCACAGCGCCTCCCTTGGCGCAGGGCTCCGTTTATGCTGGCATCACCCCGCGGCAGGTGTGTTCTTTGGTTCTGCAGCTGTCCCCTTAGACTCACTCCTCGGATTCAGTTTGGCTTGGCAAATACTTGCTAAGGGGGACTGACTCTTGGCCCCTGAGTACAGCAATGTGGAAAATAATTTAGTAGATACATTATGACCGTGTGGTACCTGGGTCCTGGGCCGTTTTAATTCAGCTCCTAGCAGGAGAAGCATAAAGGCGTGTTCCTAATGTCACTGAGGGTTTTGTCGAGGACAATGAATGTATTTTCTCCTTGCGTCTCTGCACCTGTCAGAGAACCTGACGCTCCGTGTGACGGAAGAATACCACTCACTCAATAGCAGTGACTCCCGATCGTCGGTCGGTTCGCACTCTGTATCCGCCTGCACGTCTACATAATGAACTCTTTGTCCGAAGGAAACTGGCCAAGAAGCGGAAGGAGACGATGAGCAGCACGCGGCAGGAGATGACGGTGATGGTGAGCTCCATGGACAAGAGCTACGCGGAGCAGGGCACCAGCTGCGACGAGGCTTTCTCCTTCATGGACACGCACAACCTGAACGGGAGATGTGAGTGCACGCGCGTCCCCGGCTCCCGGGCGGCGCCCGGCTCCCCAGGGCTCCCGGTCGTGCTGGGGTGAGGGGGTGGGGTGGTTAGGCAGCAGAACGCCCCGACAGCATTCTTATGCCCCTTCCTAGACGACCCTGGAGGTGTCCCTGTATGCCGCAGCTCCGTAGGAGGCCGTGGGCCCGGTCAGGGAGCGCAGGGAGCCGCGGGCCGTTTCTGCAGTGACCTGGAGCCGCGGCACCAAGGCTGCCCTCCCCCGCAAGAGGAGGGCGCCTGCTTGTCACCCTCCCTCGCGGTGTTTAGCTCCTGTTTGTGTGCGAGCCAGGTGTGGAATTAACACAGGGGAAGCCTGTTGGAAAACAGTTTGCTAAATGGCAGTAACAAGCTAATTGTTCATTTGTTTAGCTGACAAGGTCTGCCTTTATTATAGGGCTGTTTGTGGCAGGTAATACATTAAACTATATTTCCACTTAAGAAGGCTTACATTTCACGCCAGGTGAGGCAGCCGAGCTCAGCTAATACCTTCCTACGCTGCCACCTGCGATCCAGGTCCAAGGCGTTATTTTAGGAAGCTGACAATTACTCAGATTGTGTGAGATACAAAAAGAGCAGGTGCTGGGGCCCCAGTGATCTTCTCTAAACACTAAATCCCGCGGCGCAGCTCAGCTGGGTTCAGGGTCAGAGGTTTCCTTACCGTGGGACATCCGTGTGCACAGGCTGTTGGACCGCGTGGGGAAGGACTTGCAGGCATCTCGGTTTCTAATAAAAATAAGGCCGGGGATGGAGAGAAGCACAGAACCATGGTCTCTGGCGAGAGAGGCTGAACCCCGCGCAGACAGTGCGTGCGCCGGCCCGACTACCCACCTGGCATGTTCTGATGCCGCATCTCCGGCCCGGCGTCCTCTCCCATCGCACACGCTGTAGTCAGCGCTCTTCCCGCACCTGCCTTTCCCAACACTCAGCAAGGCTTCTAGAAAGCTTGTTTCTTTCTGTCCACAGTGGCCCCTGGTCAGAGGCCGTGTGTTCATTCATCTGCGTGCACACCCGGCCGCTGGTGTGGAGTTCCACCAGACACACTCCTCGTGATGGCCACTGTCCTCTGCCCTTTCATGGCGTCCTCGGTGCAGCTGGCAGAACCCAGGGAACTTAGTTTAACTGTGAACTGCCTCCCTTTTTTTATAAAATGTTCTCTGCTTCTTTGTAGCAAATATATTTTTCATTAAAAAAATATGTAATATGTTTAATGGCCCAAATAAAGCAACTTAGGATGCATTTGTGTGGGCTGGGTGGGAGAAGTCCTTCCCACAACAGACAAGATAAGAATTTTTGTCACAGCTCTATTTAGCGCTATGAAAGCCACCTTTCCATGAAATCAGTGACAAATGTCCCATAGGTATTTATTAAAAACGAGGATTTTTAGGACTGTTCCAGTTCTTTGGGGATGAGGGTGGAATTTAAGCCAAGTTTGTGATTATTGAAAGGTCATAATGTCCTACTGTAAGCTATACGGATGAAATAAATCTCCCAAGATTACATTTTACATGTATTTATATCTGAAATTATTCTCATTTTATCTGTTGGTCCCCAAGAAATAGTAATAGTCCTCACTTAAGGTTTCATTATCTTGGGAGAGCAAAGAAATCTCAGTAACAACAAATATATCCTAAAACCTTTAAGTCTGAAATTAAAGTTATTAGGCCATTTCAATATCGATGACTTTAACACTGAAACATTAATTAATTGGGGATTACGATAAAACTGCATATAAACACTCAATAAGCATGACCTTTATTATCTGCTGTTAGAAATAAGATGGACTGGAGGAAAAATACAGCCAAAATCTTATAACGAATTTCTGTCAATGCAACAAGTGGAATAAATCTTGGTTTTTGTTTTAAAAAAAAAAAAGAAAAGGAAAAAAGAATTTTTGTCCTAGCAGTTATTTCTTGAACATCAGTATGAAAGGGACCACACTGATACATGTTCTTGCCTTCCAGGATAGTCCATTAATGTTCCAAATCTTCTGCTTCCTGGTGAAATTCCTCACAAATAAATTTACTTGGAATTACCTGCCCAAAGAGCAGAAATCTACATTAGTAGTTTCTAGGCGTTTGACGTTTGAGCAACAGGGGATATTTGCCTCTGGACAGGAAATTTAATTTGACATTCACTTTTTTAAAAATGTATGTTTCCATGGAAATCCTAAAATGCCCACGCAGGGAGGGCTGCTGCCGAGGCTGGGGTCAGCATCCAGGGCTCACCTGCCCTGAGGCGTTATTTGGTGCCTCCCATCAATACCGCCTGTAGAGGAAACACAGCAGGAGGAGTTCCATTCTCCTCCCACTCTCCTTGAATCCCATCCATGGGGAGTGACCCTAAGGGTAAACTTTGTCCCGATACCCTCTTGATGCCTTTAGGGTAGGAGCGTAGTTACCGGGAAAGGAAGCTTTCAGAAAAGGTGTTCTTCACCATAAAGAAGAATAAAATAATGCCGTTTGCAGCAACACGGATGGCCCAAGAGATCGTCATGCTAAGTGAAGTAAGCCAGAAGGAGAAAGACAGATACCATATGACTATCACTCACATGTGGAATCTGAAAAAAAAAAAAAGGAAAAAAGGACACTATGAACTCATTTACAAAACAGAAACAGACTCGCAGACATAGTAAATAATCTTATGGTTACTGGCGAAAGAGGGTGGGAAGGAATAAATTTGGGAGTTTGAGATTTGCAAATGTTAGCTACTATATATAAAAATAGATTTTAAAAAACAAGTCTCTTCTGTATAGCACAGGGAACTATATTCAGTACCTTATAATAACGTTAATGAAAAAGTGGATGAAAATGATCATACGTATGTGTATGCATGACTGGGACCTTGTGCTGTGCACCAGAAATTGACACAATGTAAATGACTGAACTGCAATAATTAATTAATTAATTAATTAACTAATCAAAAGGTGTTCATTAGACAACTAGGCTTCCATCCCCAAACCTATTACAAGTCTGGATACATCTGAGATCTTTCAGGGGTGGGAGGCAAGCAGCTTTTAGGAATGAAACAGGGCAAAGAGCGAAGGTGGAGAATTTTAAAATAAGCCCAGGAGCATTTATGGGAGTGGAGAGTAATCTGTCTGCCAAAACAAACGGGAGTTTTACGTAAAAGGGGGAAAAGTAGGCATGTATAGTGGGAATGGGTTTAATTTTTATCCAAAAAGAAGTATTTAAGATATATATTTTTAATTTTTTAATTTTAATTCTTATTTTTTTATTGAAGTGTAATTGATCCATAATGTTAGTTTCAGGTGTACAGCAAAGCGATTCAGTTAACACACATACATACGTATATATACATTTTCAGATTCTTTTCCATTACAGCTCATTACAAGAAGTTGAATATAGTTCCCAGAGCTGTACAGTAGGTCCTTGTGGTTTATCTGCCTTATATATAGTAATATGTATCTGTTAATCCCAAGCTCCTAATCTATGAGCTTATTTTCATATTTTAAAATATATATAAAATAAAAATAAATAAATATTTATAAAAATATATATAAATACATTTTAAAGGTGAAAATAAGCATAGTTGTTTTGTATCTGCTTTGCACACTTTTACCGGACAAACTAACATGTCAGTGGGTAACAGGCGTCATGCTCACTGACCCTGGCGTGTTTTACAGATACTCAGGTGTTTTGTCCTTATCTTCATCAGTTGCTCTCTTTTTACCTGGCAGCTTACCACAAATATACATTCTAAATGTAATACGTCTCTATTTTAGAAGAACTTATAAATGACAGGCAGCTTGTGCTCTGTTTCTGGTTCTGCCATTAACTAATTATACAGTTTGAAAATATGAACACAGGTGAAAACGTTATCTGAAGGGAACGGCTCCACGAGAGGGAAAGTATATTAACATGTCGTCAGAATAGAGACGTCGGGCAGGAACCACAGGGATGTGGTGGTGCTTCCCGTGAAGCAGCGATGTAGGTGGGCATTAGTGTCCTGATCAGGAACTCAGCGTCAAATTAATCATATAACTACCATTAACTCATCATAGGAGTTAAAACGTACAATTACATCCAGCTTGAGCACTTGAGCACTTTCAAATCAGTTATCTTTACACTTTAATGAAATTAAAGTGTTTTTAAAAGCACTAATCAATTAAGATGTTGACGAGAGTTTAAAAATATTTTAAAATAAGAAGTATCCACTTTCAATGGAATCAGACAAACTGGATGAGATTGACTTTACCTCTTAATAACAGGAGGAAGAGAAGATGTAATCGTTAAATCTTGAGTGTTTCAGAGGAAGATTTGGAAGAAAAATAGACATTTTTAAAAGCATTTAAATGACTAACAGAACAGAATGTAGGCTTGCAGTTTCACCTTAAAAATAATGTGCATGGAACGTCTCCTTTATTTTTCATGAAACAGATCACAGCTTCGTGAAAAGCTCTCTGAAAATCCCAAGTAAGAGGAAGGCGAGAGTTTAGCAAATGAAAAAAAAATTCAGAATATTCTCCAAAAGCCACGTGTAGATAATTCTCATACTCTTAGTTGTTTGGAAAAAAAATCAGCTCAGCATGATTGCAGAATCCCAAAAGCAAAGGCTGGAAGTCAAAAGGGAAATCTAATGAATTTCTCCATCCAAAACGGTGGCCGCGGTTGTGGGGTTTTTCCTTCCGCTGTGGGGCCAGGTGTGCGATAGAAGGTGGCATGTCCTCTAAAGCACACGTAGCTCCCCGAGACTGCGGAAAGTGACGGCGCTGACCGCACAGGCGTGGTTGGGTCAGCAGTGCGCCCGGCACGGTGCCCACGAGTGAGTGCAGGGCGGTGTTTCCAGGTGTTGCCTCTGCCCCCCTCTGACTGGCATTTGTCTTATTTACAGCCGTGTCTTCACCGTCGTCCTTTACGATGAAAACGAACACACTGAGCACGTCGGTGCCTAACTCCTATTACCCAGGTAACGGGTTTTTCCACGTTCCATCTCTCCGTCGCCCCGAGACCCCGTAGCAGCCGGAAGCGGCCAGCGCCCACTCCGCTGTCCAGGCTGATGGAGGGGCTTCGTGTCTGATGTGCTGTAACCCAACGCTTGCTGCGGCTTTCTGCGGGGGGGCTGGGGGGCCTTTCGTCGTCATTTACTGTTCTTTCTCTTTTTACTTTCTCTGCCTTGACCCGCTTATGATGTTTGACAGACCCATTTGTGCCAACTGCAATTTTAGGTGAGAACATTTCCCTTTATCACAGTTTATTACATGAGTAATTTAGAAAGTCCGCGGCCACTGTGTAGGAGACGGGAGTTTTAATTTTGCCTGATGGCGGGGATTGTAACCGGGACAAGGGGAGTGGTGGGTGGTCTGGAGGGATGGGAGGTGGGCATATAAGATAACTTTCTCCAGACAGTCTCCATTGATAAGAAGGGTTTGCCGCCTGTCTGTTGGGAATGACACCAAAAGGTTCAAATGAGCTATCCCGGCTCCAGTGTTCAGAATTTAAAGTCACGTTTGATCCCAAGGAAAAATACACTATGTCATCACTCAATTGTGCACTTGTAAGAGTGATTCTGTCCAATGTGACAGCCATGAAAGTGAAAATAGCTTCTTATTATCTTCACTTATTGCTAAGCACTAAAAACTGCAATTTCCAAAGCAGCATTTTCTAATTATGCCACATGTTAGGCAGAAGAATGATCGCAGTAGAGTTTTGGCCCCCGACCTCTCCTCGGGGCCACTCAGGTTGCCCCCACCATCCAGTGTCTGTCACTCTGTGGCATCTCAAAGGAGCTGATGTTGTTGACAGCACAGTGACACGGTGACACTCTAATCACATTGTTTATCTTGTGTCAGATGTCACTGGAAATGAAATAAAATGTTAGCCCACTGGGGCAGAATGCATGGCGAGTAGGAAATATTCCCAGTGGGGGGGTTAAAGAAAAAAATCCCGTTTGTCCAAGCACAAGAAGCGTGAGGAGGCGTGCCATCACCTGGATGTGGTTGAATTAAACAAGCGGGAGCTGCCGTGGCCTCTGAGACACACCGTGACCCAAGTGTATCCCGGCTGTGTCCTCTTTCTGCCGCTAACCTTGCCGAAAAGGAGCACAACGCAAATGGCTCCGAGGGGCCTAAGACGCTGCCGCGGCCAGACTCCACCCTCAGGTGTGCGACACCTGCGTCCTGCCTCTCGCTCCAAGGGTTTACATCTCTGTGCTTCTCTTTTCTCTAAGTTGTTACATTTTTTATATAGAGAGCGATCTTTTTTCCCCTTATGGCGTTGCCTGGGCTTAATGAAGTCAGTTTGTTGCCTGAGGGAAAAAATGAACTCAGACAGAAGTTTTAAGAATGGACATAAACTAGATTTTTTAAATTGCCGTTATTTTGAAGACTAACAAACAAAACCCTCCAAAGTCCCCGCCTTTTAATACCAACTGTAAGGGAAAGAAAGCTGCATTTTTCTCCTTTTCGTAAGTGAGGGGCTCGGGCTAATCTTAGGCACCCGAACAATGAAGTCTACATGCAGATGACATTTGCAGAATCTCTTGATAGGTGAAGATTTGATATTTCTTTGTGTGCCTGGCATTCATTCTGTGATTCCTCTAGTAGATGTGCTGACCTTGGGGGAGCTGGGAGTGGGGGGAGCTGTGCTGTGCATTGTCAGAGGGAAGAAAATGTTCAGATTTCACAGCAGGATTTAGATAAGCTTATTAAACAAATACCATCTTTTAAAGTCGAGGCTTTGTTATTACGAACGCTAATGACATCTTTTAAAGTTGGTTAGGCTTCTTTGCAGAGAGAGAATCGCTCGAATAGACAATTCAGATAGCAAAAATGAAGCGCGTTGTGAAAAGCAAGTCAACCAGCTCAACAAATAACTGTTACTGTGTTGAGTTGGTACCAGCATTCCAATGTTCAGAAATGGCGCTGCTTGGGAACCATGTTATTGGGTGCAGAGGGAACCTGTATATCACATAGATTATCACTTGAAACCGTGCAGAGAAGATAAGCCGTATGTCTCCTCTGGCATTTGGGGGGCATAGTGCTGTTATAATTGACACCAGGATGAGAAGAAATGTTTTGTGGGGACGCGGAGCTTAGCACAATTAAATCCACCAGTGCCTTTTATCGTCAGGGGCTAAGGTGCCCAGCCCTAATGTATAAAGCTTTAGTACACGTTATATCATTTTCTTGCAAAAAAAAAAATTAGATGGATGGATAAATGGATAGCTAGGTAGGCCCTTCTCCACCCTCAAGACAACATTCATTCCAATTCAAGATTTTTCAACTGGTTTGTTGAAAATTCAAGATAATTTATTGAAGAATGTCAGTAGAATGAATTCTCAGGTCTTAGAAAACCATCAGAACTTTTAGTGAGAAGCTCTATTTCTGGTTTCCTCTCAGGCATAATTTTTTTAATTAAAAAATTATTGGTGGGTAATTTTTAGCAGATATAGGAAGTTAGTGACAAATGACGTATTTTATCAGTACTAATTCTTTCTTAAGAAGTCAGAGGAAACTGATTAATCACCAATTCTGATGGAATCAAGATCTTCTGCCAGTGTAAGTGGCCCAATTGCAGAGCAGATACCACACGAGAAACCCGTTTTGCCTGCAGTGTCTCTGTGCTAGGTAGTAGCATTCCTTCCTTAGATGGCCTTGGCAACATTTAAGTGCTTTCAGATGTGTCCACACAGTAATGAGGTCAAGATGTCAGTGCCGTGGGGGATGATACAGTGGTGGCTGTTCTGTGGTCTTGAAATGCCCAAGGGTGCCTCACCCTGGGGTCAGAGTACCGCAGGGTTGCCAGTGGATCCATGTGAAACACCACATGATTCACCTAGGGGGAGTTGAGAAGATCAGTCCACAATGGAGGGTATTTAATTACATTCATCCCAAAAGGTACCAGTCTGAAAGAATGAGAGAGAGGCACGGGGAGAAACTAATTAATGTTCCATTTATTTTAGTATAAAGAGCAGAACCTGCTGGAGTAGCTAAACGCTCTAGGGACTCAGTGCTTCAGCAGGGAGCCCTACCCCGCTCTGAACTTGGCAGTTGCCAAGGAGTAGATCTGCTGGTAAACATTTCCCAGTTTATCTGCGACTGTTCTAATAGATGGGAACGTAGGAATTTCAAAGCAAATCCAAATGAAAAAAAAAAAAGCCATGAAATCAACTACCACCTTTTTTATTTTGTCTTTGTGTCTTTAGCCACGTCGTAGTGATCCAGGTACCATTCCAGCAGCAGCACATGGCTACACACTTGTGCACCACCCTCATACCATGCATCCCAGGTGCTTTGCAATGCAGATAGAAGTGAGATTCCAAAGCCAGGCCCAGTTCGTCAAGCGCCCTTAAACTAAATTTCCTTCGGAGCCAAACTTCTCAGCTTAAACAAACAAACCAAAACCCGTAGCTGAATTCCCTACTGATAAACTATCTGGTCATTTTTTTAATTGAACATACCTTTTCTTATATGTTTTCATACTTTATCCCTGAAATCAATTTTGATTTAATGTTCTCCTTTTAAGTGCCTTTCGCATTATTGTTTGATGAGACACATCCTCAGTCGTAAAACAGCAAAAGGGATTCAGCATTATAATGAGTTAACCTGTAGAATGTGGAACTCTTTTAATCTAATAGCACTTTCCTGCGTAAGACATTTTTTAATAGCTACAATTTCTGCAGTTCATTAATCTAATTTACTAGGAGTCTTCCATTAAAATATGGCCTCTTTAGGCTTATTTGACCAAATTTTGACATTAATTTTGCAGTACAATTTGGTTGACTTGTTTAAGAAATTTAAAAGAGAAAAATGTGTCGAATGCAAATACGACTTATTTAGTCATTACTTGGTTCATGGGGGATGAAGAGCAATTATGATACTATTTTAACCTCCTTTTTTGTTATTGAGTGCTTAAATCAAACACCTCCATCCTAACGAGATGGGAGAACTGAGGCTTTGCCCTCTGACCACCTTTGAATAGAAAACTTAACTGTCAGATTAAAGCACAAAATAAAAACTACCTGTAATTATTCACGCAGTACTATTGCTTATGCCCTGTTTCCTTTTTCTCCTCCTCTTTTCTCCTGATATGTATCTTCTTAAAAGTGCCTATAAATGGTAAGTTCCCCCACGCGCCCGCCCCTTGGAGAAGGTGTGGAGGGCTGGGGTGGGGGGTCTTACCTGTAGATTCGGACGAAGCCAGCTGGTTCTGCTGTGTGCTGGCCTGCATGTTGGCTCCCGTAGAACATCCCATGAGTGCTGTGTTGGTCCATCCTGTTCTGTCCAGCTTTCTGATCCTGGCGCATGTGAAGTGATTCATCCAACCAACTTCCCTCCCCTCTCCCCGTATCAAGTCCACATTTTCATTGCTAGCTTTGTAAGCCAACCCATCTTGTGCACTTTTATTTTGCTCACAGAACATTCGTACAGAGTTTATTCACGTCATCATCCAAACCAGTTAACTAATCTTCGTAGGATTACAAGACTGGCTTTGCACCAGGCCTTGGTGAAGTTTCAGACAGAAACTTCGATGAACTTTAGCACCCGAAGGCTAAAGGATTCTTACCAACTAGCTTTGTGAAAGCAACATATCGTTTGGACTGCTTTGTTAAAAAACAAACAAACAAGAAACCACCAAAGATTCCTGCCTCATTCCTATCGATATTGCCAACCCCATTTAAGGTTCTAAACATTTAACTTTCCTTTTTTGCTGAGCCATCGTAGGGACCGGCGCGACTGTAGGTGGAGGGGATGTCCGCAGCACTCCTTAGATTCTCGGCGATCCCGGCGTAGCTCCTGGTCCTCCCTCACTTTCTCCACGGCCTTCTTTCCCCAGACGAGTCACACACGATGGCCAGCGACACCAGCAGCTTGGTGCAGTCCCACACCTACAAGAAACGCGAGCCGGCCGACGTGCCCTACCAGACCGGACAGCTGCACCCCGCCATCCGGGTGGCAGACCTGCTTCAGCACATCACGCAGATGAAGTGCGCCGAAGGCTACGGCTTCAAGGAGGAGTACGAGGTGAGCACGGGCCCCGCATGCCTTGGGGCTCCTTCGCCGCCGCCCAGGTCTTGGCGCCAGGTGTCCTGCGCACAGCATGTCCAGCCAGCCGGTGGCGCCCACGAGGCCGGCCAGGACAGGACCAGTGTCTCATCGTCCGCTTCCACCGGTGGTGAGACTTCCCACTGGGAAGCTATCATGCGCTCAGTGGGAAAAGGGGGGATAGGCCACCTTTTTCTTTGTTCCGCATAAATTCACAGTGAAAACAGAGGCCTGCTCGGCTCCTTCCCCGTTCCTGATCACCTTTCTTGGCTTTTCCTGAAATTAAGTCTGGTGTTGAATCCCAATCACTTTGTAGTGTTATCTCAGAAGGAAGCTGCCCCCCAAGACAACTGCAGACCAACCAGCGACACCTTGCAGGGGAGACGGGGTGGAGTAGAGGGGCTGGCTGGTGTCAGGCTGTGACAGTTGTCACTGCCACCAGCCCAGGGAGCTGGTCGCCGTCCTGGGATCTGGGGCAGACACCCCTGGGCGGGTGGGGAGGGATGGGTTCCAGGAACAGCGATATAGACTCTGGCACCATACGCAAAATGTACCCCACCCCTTCCACAGCCTCTGTCTGTAGCTAGTTCTGTTGGAAAGTCATTCATGGAGTGAAGAGAATTCACTGATTTGGAGAAGTCTGGTTCAAAAGAGCACGCCATCACTGAGTGTGTGTGTGTGTGTGTGTGTGTGTGTGTGGGAGGTGTGTGTATGAGAGAGAGAGACTGTGTGTGAGTAGGGAGTAAGAGGAGCGAAGAAAAGGGCTTGGATCTCTGTTACTTTATTAAATAAAATTAGTTCACAGTCATTGGTGAAGATAAAGGAGCAGCGTGCTTACAGGAAGTGTAGGATCATGTAGCTTTGTGCCTTTTTATACTTAAGAATGGATTTCTGGTACCATGTCTACCTGACTCACTCACGACTGGGGAACGTCTTGTCTGGAATTAGAGTCTTTTTCAAAATCAGTTCCAGTTTGAAAACTCTGCTTCTTTCTCCTTTGTGGGGACACTCATGGTACTTCATTTTATGCCCCACATGCTCTGTTGTCTTGGGCTTGGCTCCACTTCTGAGCGTAGTCACCGAAGACTCGTTGCAGCAGCAAGAGCGGCACCACTGCAACGCAGGTCTTTGTCCAGCTCAGGCAAACACCCAGGCGCACCTTGCTCTGCTGACACGTGTGTCCGTGTGGCTTGCCAGTGACCTCAGTTCAGAAGGCTGCAAAGCCAGGGAAACTCACACAAGCCAGGCCCCAAGGCTTTGATTTAAGTCCAGGAAGTATTTCCAGGTGAAGTTCTGCATTTTAGCCATCCTGAAGTTCTTAGGTTTACCTTTACCCATTTAATTTTATAATTCAGTGAAACTGACTGCCTTTGCATATTTCCTCATGCACTTTCAAAGGCTGGCTTAGGAATTAATAGGATTAAGAGCAACACTTCCAAAAGCATTAATATCTTATGAAGGACAAAATTAGGTTATTGAGAAAATACAAGCCTAATGAATAGACATGAAGTCTTTAGTTCTATCCAGCATTCAGAATGCAGATATGGCTCTAAAGTTTATTAAAGATGTTAACGTCAAAGAGATTAGTTATAGGCTCAAGTAACAATTCATAAAATAACCCAAGTCCAATTTTTCATGGACTGTTTTAAAATACCAACCTTAGGACTTCCAGTGACACACCACAGATGATGCATATTTGGCAGTAAGCAGAAAGTTGGCTCCTATTCGTATCTCCTGAAGAAATCTGATTCGTAAGTGCAAACTGAAACAGTTTCTACTCATCTTAAGCATGTTATAATTGATGATTCATTAAGAGTTGTTATGCTGTGAAATAAATGTATTAATTACATTTCAAAAAACTTTTTCTCAGTAGATCAGAGAGGACTATTTAACAGTGATATATACGGGTAATCCAGTCACCACATTATACACTTTGAAGTTACATCATGTTCTATGTCAATTGTATCTAAATAAAGCTAGGGAGAGAAAGTAAAAACTTTCTAATGCCAAAACCACTATCAGTTTTTTCTTTTTTTAAGAAGGAAGGAAAAAAAATGAAGAAAGAACATACACTAGAGGGGAAATCAGGAACAAATAGGAAGGTGCTATTGGGAGAACCTGAGGTGGAAGTTGTGGCAGGAGTAATCTTCGCATTCAGCGATTCTCAGGTTATTGGGTGTCCCCCTCCTCCTCCTGCAGGGCAGGGTGCAGATGTGGGCGGGAGAACCAGGGCAGGACAGAGCAAGCGGGACGTGAGGAGTGGTGCTGGTCCGTGGGTAAACCCCTAGAGAGGATGCGGGCACTGGGGCACCTGCAGCCCGGAGTCCTACCCTCACCACCCCGGCCTGCACGCGCCACGAGTTACGGGCCCAGACCTCCCCTCGAGGCGCAGCCGGACTTGCGTGTGTTAACGGGGTGGCAGCAGGTCCCAGCTGCGTCTACCCCGATCCACTTTCTCTAACCCCAGGGAATTCTTATTCCAATGTGAATCTGGAATATCCTTAAGTGGAATGTTTTAAAGCTCATTTGGCTTTCAGAACACTGACCAAGTGCATCTCTTTGACTCTCGGTGTGAAGTAACCACACTGAAAGTCAGGCATGTGTGGCTGTCTAGTGTTCTGTGAATCTCGTGGGTCAGACACTGAGAGGCTGTAGACTGGGACGAGGCTCTGGTGCCACACTGCCGGGATGCCAACTCAGCCTGGGTCGAGCTGTCTGAGCTCTGGGCCTGTTTCCTCATCTGTGAAACGGAACAACTAGGTCCTCAACCTCATAATGCTGTTTTGAGGCTTAACTCCTTGAGTGCGTCTAAGTGCTGGAGTTGAGTCTGGCACTCGGTTGAAGCATTAGCTAGTATTAGAGGAAGGTCCTAATTTACAGTCGGATCCGAGGGAGAGTCCACTCGGTGTTCTTTGCAGGGAAGCCGTGCCCGTTACGACTTCAGCACCTCTCCCGTGTTCGCGCTCTGGGTGGGCGGAGCCCAGCCTTTCATGGGAAGGCTCAGCGGCTGTTTGCTTCATCTGTAGGACCGGATCGTTCCTTTACCACGCGTCATATTTCATCAAAACTTCCCGTGGAAAAGTGACTTAAATAAGTAGGTGGTTTGATTCTGTGGAGAAAGAGTTTGAGAACTGAGGCAAAAAGTTAAGCATTTTTCCTTTTTGTTTAAAGTATAGTTGACTTACAGTATTATATTAATTTCAGGTGTACAATGTGGTGATTTGGTATTTTTATGGATTTCACACCAAAGTTATTGTAACAGTGTTAACTGTATTCCTAGTGGTGAACATTCCATCCCTGGGACTTACTCTTCTTTTTTTTTTTTGTTACAGTTTACCAGGTAAAATACAGTTTGCTAGGTTAAACCTGAACCTCAGATAAACAGTGAAGAACTTTTTAGTATAAGTATGTCCCAAATAGTACATGGGACATACTTACACTAAAAAGTAGTCGTTGTGTATATGACCCTCAGTTAATACTTTAAAATACACGCTGTTGGGGGAAGGTATAGCTCAGTGGGAGAGCACGTGCATATTAGCATGCACAAGGTCTTGGGGTCAATCCATATAAACAAACAAATAAGTAATAAATAAATACAACCTAATTACCCCCCAAAAAATTAAAAATTAAAGTAAAACAATTTTTGCTATATTTATGCTATTATCTTTTATTGTTGAAATAATATTTTCATATCTAAGCTAGAGAAGTCCTAAGGAGGGTAGAACTACAGACCACAGAATGCACTTTTTTAAAACAGTGGTTCCACTAGTGTCTTTGCAAGGTCGGACCTGAGGGGAGGTTGAACTTAACAAGCTGCGCTCATCGGTTCACCAGAGAATAGCAAGCACGTGGGGTGCACCTGACACTCCCGGGGCTGGGGACACAGAGGAGGCGCCGGCTGCAGGAGAGAACAGCCAAGGGGTGGCTTAAGCATGCCTGGTGAAACCCCAAAAGAGAGATCTTAATCGGCAGTGCTTTGAAGCCCTGGGGTGCAAATCTGGGCAAAGATGACTCTTTCCTCAAAGGAAGAGTTGAAGTTGGCCAGGAGGAGGCGAGAAAGTGGGATTCCAGGCCGACAGGAAAGCAGGAGGTGGCGGGCAGTCAGGGCTCCATCATGAAGGGCCCCGTGTGGGCCACTGAGAAGCTCGGACATCACCCTGGCTGCCGCGGGAAGAGGAGGGGGACTCGGGTAACGTGAGTCTCGCTCCTGTACTTGGCTCAAGATCTGTTAATACAAACAGCTCGGTTTTTTAATGCCACTATATGAGGCATACAGGAACTGTTTGAAAGATAACAGTCAACACCCAGAAAGTAAAGGGAGAAGGAGAGTGTATTTACTGAAAAAGTGTAACATGAACCACATCGCTGTGTCCCCATTCAAAGAGTGCGGTGCGATGCTTGGCCTTGAGACTTGTTGAAGCCATGAATTACTTCCTTCCTGAGGTGTCCCGAGGGGTAAAATGGCAGGAGCGCCTCCGGTTGCCCTCCTGGCTCAGTGTAATCGCCCAGTCAGCCTTTCTGGTTTTCTTCAATCCACGGACATCAGGAGACACCAGCCACTTAGATGATAAACTCTTTTTGAAATAGGGACTCTCTCTCTCTGTTGACACCGTTTCAACTAGTGCGTCTTGATCTTTCCCCAGACAGAAATGTCCAAACACTGACCGACACCCTGGAAGAAAGGGTCCATCTAGACAAGAGGAAAAACATGGTGGGGGATGAGGCAGAGCATTACAAAGTGCTGAGTTTTTTATCCGATTTTGTTCTAACGAGATCGTCATGTGGCATCTCTCACCAGGGAAATGCAATAATTTGATTCAAAGGAACCTCAGACATGAATCACAACAGAACAAGTAAACCAGGCTGAAATGAACAGAAAATGGCACGTTGTCAGCAGAGACTAGGTCGGGGATCTCAGGAGAAAGACCCAGTGGGAAGGGCGAGTTTGTGTCGCTGGTGCAAAAGAGGAGCTGGTCCTT